AGTTGTGGCAATTGCTCAAGAATCACGTACGCGGACATGCCCCAACGCCCACAGAATGCCTACACTCTCGACGAGTCAGCAGCGAGTCAGTCCTCGTCGTCGCCAACTTCAACTTCAGCTCTCCGATTCAACTTCTATGCCGATTCGCGCCAAGTCGTGCTGTGGCTTAAATAAGTTGCAGCGAGTTTTAGCCATGGCTAAGACGAGTTGCCAACCCAGTTGAGTGGCCCTGTCAGGTGCTTCGAATGTCACGTGCGCGTTTAAATGGGGGAAGGCGAGTCTTTCGTCAGCTAGGTGTCCGGCTGTGGCATAGTTTGCCATTTCTTTTCTATTTGGCTCGGTTCATCAACATGAACTAGTTCATTCAAATTGCAATTTGCTGCGATTTCTAGCCATGCATACAATTGCCCGTCTGCCGTTTGCTGTCTCATAATTAAGCCAATAACTTTCAGCCAAACTTGTCAGTCAATTATTCAGCGGCTACTCGTACGAATGCATTGCACCACTCACACCACTCGCCCCACTCACGCCAGCCAGCCGCACGCTGCGGTCAAAGAATCGAACCACCCACCGAAGCGAGGCTTTTAGTTTTGTTGCGTGTCGAAACAGTTTAAGCTATGCGAATGCCAAATTGTTTACCCCAACACAAACAAACGCAAAAAAAAACGTCGCAAATACCAGAAATAATTGCGATAGCTGCAATGTGCCCGACCGACCACATACCCTGTAACGGCATTTCGTTTGAAAACCGTTTATTAAACTACTTAAGATGAGCAACAAATTTTTAACCAAACGAAATAAAAGCAAGCGAAATAAATAAATAATATATTGGACAGACTAGGGGATACTCTATTTAAAGGTATATATTAATTTTAAAGGTAATATTAAATTAGGCATGCGAATTGATATACTACCATAATATATTATTTATTATTAGAGCTTGTTGGAGTAGCAGATACCCTACCAAGACATTTTGAAAGTATATCTTAAACTAAACACGACAAATTAATGCCCAACAAAAATAAAGAACATAAATTGTCCAGCGTATTTTTTAAGATCCAAAATCAAGAAAAAACATGAAATATGCTTGACTAGGAGATAAAATATAAAAAATTTATATCTTATTAATATATTTGAATATATATTTACTACTCAAACTATACATAAGTAATATAAGATTGCTATGTAATAAACAAAATATATAGATATATCCTACATATTTGTTTATAAACATCCTATAACTACCTTAGCTTAACTTTTTGATATTTCTTAGATTGTAGAAAAAAGCGTATACCCGCTTCAATACACATACTCATACACAGGGTATACATATCTAAACAAAGAAGCTAGCATAATACACACCGCCGCGCACACACACACACATGAAATTAAATAGTGATAAATGATCTGGCCTGGTCAGCTGTTTCATGTCGCTGCTGCTGTTTGGCCAATTATCTGGCTTAAGTTTTGCATATAAATTAGCTAGAAGAAGAAGAAAATGGCAGTAAAAAAAATAAAGAATACGCACAGCTGGCCAAATTCTTAGAGATGGCATCTTGCTCGTGCGACTGATTCTGTAAACTGGGCTAACTGTCTGGCAAGATTCATTTTGAGGTCGACTAACTGCCAGCCGAATGAAATGAAGATCAAGCATGGAGTTGCTTGCAGGGAGAGAGAGAGAGAGAGAGAGAGACACATAAATCAAAATTGTTGTCGAGCTAATGCGCGAGCCATGAATAATCTGGCGAGGGAGCCGAAGCCGAACTAAACCCAAGTAATTAAGTAAAAATAGAATCTTAAAATAATAAAAAAAAGAAGAGTTGAAAACAAAGAGTGTCTGAAGGGGGACTAGAAACGGAAGTGTTTCCCTCTGTGTGTGTGTGTGAGTGGGAGGCGGATAAAGAAACCAAACATAAAGAAAAGAAATGAAAATCCCTTTTGACTGTCAAGTTCAGTTGGGGAAGTCCGAGGGACATTAGCAGAGCCCGCAAGCTCTAAAAAAAAAAAAATAAAATAAAAATGAAAATTACTTTTTTTTTTTTGCTTTGTGCGATTTTTGCTATAATAATTATTTACAAAATGCGCCCACGCCACGCCCACAGGCTAAACAGCAGAGGAACAGCTAAGAGAAGGCGCCAGCTGAGCCGCCATTGTTCGCTTTGCTGAAGAGGGTGGCATGGGGGTGGGGGGTGTTTATAAGAAAGACAGTGATAACGACGTGTATGTGACTTTGGACATATATACAGCTCACCCACACACACACACGCATAGAGAGCGACAGACTTTGGACAGGTATCAATTACAAATCTCTAATGCGAAAATAACAAGCAAAGAATCACAAAATAACAATAAAGCGAATAACGAGAAAACAGATAATAACAATATGAGAGAAACATATGACCAGCTCAAGGAACACAAAGAAAAGCTGGCGGGAGCGGGGTTAGGTGCTGGAGGTTTTTATAGGGAAAGAGTTGCTCAGCTAATGGGTAAGAGATATCCACACAAATGAAGCGCACAACACTACGATTCATGACAAGTTGTGACAGGTGCGATGCGAGTGAAGGGCGAAAAAGAAGAATGGGGCAGCAGCAAGAAATACAAGTCGAAACTTATCTAAGAAAAAGTGATGCAAGAGCACAGAGAATGAACAACAATAAATGGATTATATTGGTCAGACTGGACACGTAAATAGCTTAAAGGCTTGCGAGTAGAATGGAATGATGTGGAAGTGGACTGTCAAGTGAAATGGAATGGAATTTTAGTAATTGTAGTTTTTGAACTGACCGCAACAACTTTAAAGAGCTATGCGAAATTGAGTAAGTTCAAGAGAAGAGAGAGAATGGAATTGAAGGGGAATGGAATGGAATAGAATTGAAGTGAATAGAATGGAATCGAATAGTCTTGAGCATGCTGGAAGAGTGGCAAGAGTAAAAGGGATAATGAAATTGATTTTACGTGGATATTTAAGTTTTATTCAATACATATTAAATGTAAATAATTCATAAATATTCTGTTCTCATCAACAAATTGCATATATAAAATGTTTTAAACGGAAAAAGTGCAATTTAAATTAGGCTACATATTCATATATAATACTTTTTAATACTTTTCAATGGAAAATGTCTGCACAGATATATAATCAAAAGTAAAATATTCTATACTAAACAAAAAGAGGGAAATTTTTGTTATTTTTCAACAGAATAAGTGTGTTTTCATTTAGCGAAGCATTAGTACTTGTATTAACACATCCGTATATAAATTCCTAAAAATTCTTAGAAAACCGATGGATTGGATTGGTATTTATCATGCTGAAAGAGAGTATTAATTGGAAAAACTATAATGCATATTAAAAAAAAATTATTATATGTGCAAATACATACGACACATACAAATAAAAAACTGAAATGATAAAAAATATTCTAAGCATCATAACATCATTTATTGTGTAATTTCATAATAATAATTTAAATAAAAAATCATTTGATTACAAAGTCTGTTGCATTTTGAAAAAAAAGAAACACTAAAAATTTGATATATTTATCAAATATTTTACTAATATTAATATTTACAAAAAAAAAATAATATTAAAAAATTAATAATAATAATAAATAAATAAATAAATATTTATTTTTTACATAGAAAAAAAGAAAAGATTCGCTTATTATTTTGATAAACAATCTACTAAGAGGAATATGAAAATTCTTGAATTATATTTGAGCCAAAAAATTAAAAAATCATACAAACATTTAGCTCCATAACATAAAGTTAAACTCTCAAATCTGGCTAAATCATATATTATTATAACTCTCGCAATACTTCCATAATCCAATAAAATTTGTTACTCAATAAATGCAATCAAAGAATTTGAAGGAATTTACTTGATTGAAATGAAAAATTGTTGTTGCAGAGTAGTTAATTAGCAACGACCTCCAAAAAAAAGCTACGCCACTCTGTGGCATGCAATGGTTGCACGCGTTACATTGTTGCAGCCCATGCGACGCGAGCAGCCAAAGCCAAAAGCAAATTGGCAACAGCAAAACTTTGGCAACAACAGAATTGCGGTGAAAATTTTCATTGCATAGGAATGAGATGGGCAGATGAGGAGCAGAAGAGCAGCTAGGCAGGTAGCTAGGTGGCAGGTGGCAGGTGGTAACTGATGTTGCGCTCATTATGATGACGACGAATAACCGCAAAAACCAAAGGAATGCGACAAAATGTAAAGAGAAATAGGCAAAAGAGATAGGCAGAGTGAAAGAAGAGATAGAGAGAGAAAGAATGAGATAGAGCTAGAGTGAGAGGCAAGCATATTTGGGTGCAGCGCATCAGAAAAGCATCCATCATGCAATTTGTCAGAGCGCCACATTGCGTCAATCTTCGCAGCAATTGGCCAAGTTAGCGGTGCGTGTGTGTGCTTAGGTATTTACATCTGTGTTGGTTTACACATACCCGGCTGGTGAGGATCCCTGGCTGTAGCATTTGCCCGCTGCCATTGCAGCCGCTGCCGACGCTGTGTGTATATGACGTTGCGGTGGCGTTGGCTGATGATGTGGCGACGAGGTGGCCGAAACAGTCGGTGTGCTTTTTGATGATGAGCTGCTGCCCCCACCACCACCACCACCACCACCACCACCGCCAGCGGCACCACTGCTGCCACCACTGCCAGACACTCCACCCGCTGGCATGGCCACTTTGCGCTTGGGTGACAGCTCCTGGGCCGCATTATCGCAGACGCTGTCCGTGTTGACGACCTGCTCGAGCATATGTACCTTCAGCATGTTGTTTGATTGATGCTTTGATTGATGGATTGACTGTTTGGCGTTGCGTTGATTGCTGGCCTGCTGCTGCGTGTTTTGCTTTATTTTGTTTTGTTTTCCTTTTCAATTTTGGTTGTTTTCTTTTTATATTTTTGGTTTTGTATTTTTGGTTTTAAATATTTGGATGCGTTTTGTTTTGGTTTGCTTTTTGGGTTTACGCTGTTTTCCTTCAATATTTTGTTTTTGTTTTTTTTTTCCGTGTGTTTTACTCACTTTACATATCGTTGGCGGCGTGTGCTAAAATTGGATTCGGGTTAACATTTAATTACATTGCTTCTCAGCATTTAATTACAATCGATTTGCCTGCACTTCAGGTACTCCAATTGCGAAGTGCTCAATCGAGCTGCTTAATTAAAATATGTTTTTTTTTTCGCGCACAAAACGAATTACACGTTCAATATTTTGCTGTTGATATTATATTCACAAATTGAAAATTTAAGATCGGTAATTTTTGTTCATTTACAAAGTATAGTTGACTGTTGAAATTGACAAAAATGCATGTAAAATTCTTTAAGGCAGCTACAAGGTAAAATTCTTCTTCTAGTTACATAAGAACTCTAGTTATAACTCAGTACAGATAAATATGATATGATGCTTAATGACACATACATTTGAGTTCAGGAAAATATGCGTATGTATATATGTATGTATATGTATAAAGAAAAATTTTTAAATATCTATAGAAAATATGCATATGTATATATGTATATATATGTATAAAAAAAATGATTTAAATAAGTCTAGTAAGTTATGGCTAGAGCTCTTACATGTAGCTGGAAGAAAACATATATCTTCCGTGTATATAGATCAAAGTTTCTGGGCGTAGTACAATGACCAACTTTCAACTCGACTTTAAAGCAAACTTCTGATTATATCAAGACTTCTCCCGCTCTCTAATTACATGGAATCACCTAGGTTGTACAATCAATTTATGAATATATATAAATATACATATATATCTCGAACTTGTTACGATAATTCTTTTTACGATGCGGCAAGCGGCAACTGTCCGCAAAAAACAAAAAGCAAATCCAATTTCAGTGGCTTTATACGTCGAGCAGCTGCTTAAGAAGGTAACCAATGGCAATAAAGGCCGGCCAAGCGCAATGCCGGAATATGGAAAACGATGGAAATTTAATAACTGACAGCCTGAGAGAAGTCAACTTTATGGGCGCTCGTAAAACTTCATCAGAAAAATATGGTAAAGGTGAAGGAAAAAAAAAAAAAAAAAAACAAAGAGAATCACTCAGGCCCGAAATAAAGTGCTGGGCCATATTAAGAAGTAATGCTGAAAAGCCATTGGCATTGCTTTGCTGTTGCTTTGCTTTCTGCCTGCTGCGCTTGCCTTTGTCCAACGAAGCGATGAAAAGCGCGTGAAAATGCGTGCAATATGAAAAGCCAATGACAGTAGACAGCCAGTAAGTAAAACATACAGCAGAAAAGCAAAAGCAGCCCGCACATGTGAAAAGCAACTCACAGATAGAGACAGAGACAGAGAGAGAGTGAGTGAGAGTGAGAGTGTGAGTGTGAGCGGGCCACAAAGCTGCTCAACTCAGACCTAAGGCAACTTGTGAACAAAACCGTCATAAAAACCACTCGAGGCAAATGTACGTACGGGAGCCCAAAAGCCTAAGGAAAACGAATAAAAACGGCGGAGGGAGGAGGGTGTAAGAAAACGTTGACTTGAACCTGCCCCACTGACAATTGGCTTAAGTCTAGAGGGTTGGCCAACCCGGCATTCTGTGTAGGTAATGGCTGACGGCACGTGTCCAAGTGCCGCCAAGATGATTTATGTTGCATGGCATTGACTGAAGGCATGTGGCAACTGCTTAGCAACGTTGTCAGGTTGTGCACACCACCACAGACACCGCACGCCCACCCCCATCAGCAGCAGCAGCAGCAGCAGCAGCAAGTCTAGCTCTAAGTGCTTCATTACAATGCCGAATCAGGTGTAGAAAGGAAGAAGAGCAACAGCTACTATTTACTTTCGGTAGGCTAGCCCCAGAGTCATTTCAGGACGTACTTAAGCAAATAGCCAACAGAAAACCCATTTCATAGCCTCGGGGAAAAACAAGGTAGCCAACCAAGTTGGGATGGCAATGCGATTATATTTGAAATTAACGTCAGCACTTGACTTGATTAGTTGGCCCCCAAAAAGACTCTGAAGGAGTCCTTAATTAGTTAGCTTTGTCATTTTGTGACCGCAGCAGTTAATTAGTTATTTGAATATCACTCAAAGTTCGAGCTGAGTTTTTATGAGTTAAGAGCAACTTGTAGAGACTATGAAGTTTACTAACTTTCGTTTCTTGTAATATATTAATGAATTGACTTTTGGATTGAACTTTAATCATATTTTGAATTAATATTTATTTTGCTCCACCTAATAACTAAGTTAATTAGAGAACTTGACTTGTATTTTATCCATAGAAGTTCAATCGACTTATGTCAAATTATTTTTTGCTTACTTTGCTTTCTTTCGGAAACTACCGGAACACTACCCGGTATTATTATTATTATTATTTTTTATTTTTTTATTTTGACTTATTTTAAGAATAAAAGACAGTTTAATATAAATAAATTGTCGGATTTCAGCTCGTATAACATAGGAAAATATTAAACCTTAAAAGATGGCGCTATACTGACTGCATATTTTTTGTAATATTTAATTGATTTTATTATAATACTTTATTATAATAATCTATGACTTCTATAAATCCTAACTATTTTCTCTTTTATAATTTACAATATGGTTATCTCTTATTTTTGATAATTATATAATTTATATATTTCATGTTTTTACTAATTAGGTACAATTCTATTCAAAAAATATCAAATATATAGCAAATATATATACCCATTAAATGCGACTATTCTTTTCAAGAAAAACATCATTCATCATTTTACAACTCTCCCTTTCACATCAGCTTCCATTCATTTACAAGCTTTTGCCCATTGTTATTTTCCAAACTTCATTAAATGATCTGTCTGTTACATCATTTGTTATTATATCAACAGTTGCCCTGGCCCCAAAAACGTTAAGCCTCCTCTCGCCCAAAGCGTCACACAGAGGAAGGCAGCAAAACCGCGAGGAAATGAACTTCCATAATAAAATTACAAAACATCAAATTATTTGACTTGAATCGAATTAAGAGCAATGATTTATTTTTGTATCTCTTTTTTCGCATTTATTTGTATTATTTTTTCTGCTGCTTCTTTTTTTTTATGTTATTTGCTATTATTTAGTAACACGCAACTTCCGCTGCAAATTCGTCTTTTCCGCCTGTGAATACAGCGAGAAAAATGAAGTGAAATGAAAACAAACCTAGCAAAATAAAACGAATAATCTACGCTCAGGTGAGAATTATATATATATATATATGTATACATATATATTTGTATGTGGATATGTGTGTATATGTGCACATCATAAAATAGAATTAGGTAAGCGAATTCAATTACGTGGCATAACAAACAATTTTGTATTACATACATATACATCTAAATCAGAGTATAACAGAGTTTAGAATCAAAAAACTAAACGATACCCTGTATAAGATCGGCATTCTTAGATTAATTGATATCTTTAGCTTTCAGAAGAAACATGCAGTGAAGAAGAAATGAATATAAATGAATGAATTGTTGCCGAAGTTATCGAGAAGTTATCGAGTTATCATAGACTAAATATATATAACTTTCAGGATTCCTTTTTTGATTCACTACATGAACTATATACATATTTATTTTACTCATCAGACATCACATACCCCTTTCGCCACTTGTACCAACTTTAATAATTACAGGGTATCACAAATGCACCCCTACCCTCAACAAGAGCAAAGTTAACCATTATGTGTGAGTTTTTATGGTATTGTGGCGAAGTGTTTGACGGCAGGGAATTGCGGCTAAATGCAATAAAAAAAACGCATATAGAATAATTTATTTAAATCAGCATCCGACCGCCCCCATCAACCCAGATCCAAGAACAACATCGTCGACGTAGACGACGAGCGACAACTTTGACGACCTTTTATGGAGACATGCAAAAAATTCATAACAATTTATAACGATATGTCTACGATTTAACTACATTGGCTGCAAAGAAAAAAAAAACGAAGGAGCACTGCAGCCGGCGAGATGATGGAGGCAAGCAGCATTGTGTAGCATGTGGGCTGATTGCTCAGTTAATTGTGGTTAGAACTAGCGTGATGGGGGTAAATAATCTCAGATTTTACATTACACTTGTGCGACACTTTTATTGATGTGTTTTGTTCGAATTCAATGGATAAAAAAAGTTTTAATTATGTATATATAAGAAAATGCTGTGGCAAATAATATTGATATGTAAGCAATTATGAGCGTAATCGATAACCACAACCATAACCAGTTAAGTCAAGAAGGAAACTAGCGCGGGTTGCGTCTGAGATGGAAGTTGAAGCAAATAGAAAACAGAGAGAAAATGTCTTGGAAATTTAATTAATAAATCTATCGATAAGACCGTTAATTGCTTATATTCGTTGATACAGTAATCGATAAGTTTATATAACTAAGATAGCTACGGCAAGCCTAAGATCTGTTGTAGTAATCAATCAATCATGTCACTTACATAATTTTAAAATAAATAATAAAAACATTATTTTTGGATATAATATATTACAAAAATATTTTCATTTGTTTTGCAAGTTTTCGCATATTTTAAATATTTTTTATCCTCTAATTTTGTATATAAATTTGAACTTGATAGATAGATTCGATTCATAACACATAAATCTAGCTCAAAATATAAATTTTAAAGAAGTAAATAAATCAAATATTGCTAAACTTGTTAGCAAAATAATATATATATATATATATATATATATATATATATATATATATATATATTTATTCATTTTATCTATACTTTTGGTATTTTATATAAATAATAAATGAACAAATATGAAAACGAAACTTAAATGTGATTGATAATGTCAGGTAGTATTAGATGGATAATATTCTGGAATGATTTGGTCTATATTAACTGTACATGTTTATCATATAAACGGAGATCATATAAATATAAATCACAGATGCAACAGATCATTAACTAAGATTTTATGAAATTAGTTCAATATTACGTAGAAATTTTAATAGAAAAATGAAAAATCAAATCAATTCAATTGCAAGAGTTATCTCTATTATCTAGGCTTACTATCATATCATTTCGTGATATGATAACCATTTAGAGTTAATACAGCCTAAAGAATGTCACAATATGATGGAGTGTTACCAGAGCAAAAAAGTCTCTTTCAAGGTTGCCTGTTGCCATATTTTCAATGATGCATTGACCAAATGGTAGCTGATAGCTGATAGATAAGATAAGAGCGCAGACACTCCAGAGACTAATTCAAATGTGTGATAGAAACTTTTTGAAACGAAATAAAGTTTTGATAGTTGTCATTGTTGTTGTTTGGTCAACTGCCAACAGCTGTTGCAAGCTGTGTGGAAACTGAACTCAGCTCGGGGCAATGTCGATGCTGCGAACACAAGCTCGAATCTAAGAAATTGTTTACAGCATTTATGTCAGAGCGTAAATATTTAAACACGTGTCACAGCACAGAAGCAAGAAGACGTGGAAGAAGTCGTAATAAACATGAAACAAATGCTGCAAATGTGGCCAAGTTAACAAGGGCTACGGGCTACGGGCTGCGGGCTGTGTGTGCGTGTGTCTTAGGGTAGGGCTAAAATCAACACGGAAGCAGCCTGAAATGAAAACCTGCCAAAATTCCGGATGTACACCCACACAGAGGTCTATAAAGGTTATCAAAAGAAAAAACTTTGTTTTTTTTTTTTTTTTTGTGTGTAAGGAAATGTTATTTCATAAGAACAAGAAAAAATCTCTTGCCACCTATCGATAAGCGGTGGCAACCCAATTTGCTCGGTATTTATAACCGTTACGTGTTTGCTGACTCAAATTTCAATTGAATTGGGCCTCGGTTAGGGTTTCTGTTAGCTGAAAATTATATGAATTCTAGGTGCCAGTTCTTGAAAGACACAATCTATAAATGACGTATCGATAACGATTAAGAAAATAAAAAAAAAAATAATGCAACTGAAATCAGATTGCGAAATGTTGATACTAAAACAATAACAGTTGGCTGGGGAGAGTGTAATAGTGAGCGAGAGTAAGAGAGAGAGAGATAGAGAATGAGTGAAAGAGAGTGTGTGCTTGTGTGAAAGAGGGCAAACAAATATTTGGTGCAAGCTCTTGACACAGTTATCATCAGCTAATTAGGCTCGAAATGTATACAAAAAAAATAATAATAATAAAGAACAATCATAAATAAGTAAAACATTAACAAATATAGATAAGCAAAATGAATTTGGTCGGTAAAGAATAAACTTGGTCAGAGAAGCGAAAAAAAAAATGTATATTATTTGCGATCGTCTTTAAAGAAATATATAAATATTTTTTAAAAGTTAATCAGGAAAAGATAGAAGTGGAAAATCATTTTTTCCAATTTTTGTTGTCTCTAAAAAAACCAAAAAAGAAAAAAAAAATCCAATAAAAATTCATCTACTATTAACTATTATTTGTATATGAAAAGAGTAATGAATGCCAATGAAAATTTGAGTCTAAAACTTCAATAACAACATAATAAATGTATATTTCCATTTCTCTACCAAATCAAAAAACGTAAAACGGTTGATAGATTTTGAAATTTATGCGCAAGCAGTACAAGTGGCCTGAATACAATAAAATTTGTGGGAAATTGTAAAAGTAATCAACTTTTCTCAGTACTCGTTAAAAGTCTGTTTTCTTTTATTAGTTCTGTTGCAACCCATATCAGGTTTCACACGGCTCGACCTTCATTCCATTGATGATTTGTTGGCCCAGCAAAGGAAAGCGGTCTAAACTTTTCAGTCAATAGGAAAAGTCGAGGTGTGAAATAACTCAGAGCTGACCTTCAGTTGGTACGCTGTGCTGATAATCCCTGGAATATTACGTACAAAGCAAACATCAAATATTTCATAATTTATATTCATATTTTTTTACAGCTGAAAATCAGTGAGAAAACATAAAAAGTTTTTGTTTTCCTTTTCAAAGCGAATTCTCAGACTTTTGGCACAGGTGTAAACAGCTCGTAAGCAAACACACCCCACTTTGCAGTGGTTCTCCCCTAGCCCCTTCTCCCACTCCATTCAGTCGCTTGCCGTTGCAAATAGCAAACCAAGCCGCTGCCAAAGGCAATTAAAGTAAACATATGAAAAACACGCCAGGCGCATATCAAATACAGTTGCTCCGACTAAAGAAGAGTAATGCGTCCCCTTTCTCCCTCCCTCTCACGCTCCTGTGCCACACTCGTCGCGGCCATTTGGCAGTGGGCCAAAGAACGCGCACGCCCCATAAATTAAACGTGTGTGTGTGTGAGTGTGTGTGAGGCAATAACAGTGCTGGGGATCGAGAGATAAGCAACAAAGCAAAACGCATTCGGCAAAACGGTAAATTTTGCGTAGCAGCGCAACAAAATCTAAAATCAATGCAGGCGAATGACACAGCGAAAGGACAGTGCCAAAAAGAACAATGCCATAAAGAGCGAGAGTGTGTGCGAGTGCGAGTGCGAGCGCAAGTGGGAAAAAGATAGTGGCCAATCATCTTCTACACTCTCTCACACGCACGCTCTCACTGAAATCTTAGCAGGCAGCCAGACAGAGATGGAGATAGCCAATGAATCTGAGCTGTTCAGTTTGCTGCACTTCAACTTGAACTTTTCGGTCAAGCGAAGGCAGCAACAACATCGACAGCATTGAGAGATGGATGACAAGACAATTGATGAGCGTAATGAGTGGACGAGCGGCATATGCGAAAGATAGTGATGAATGAATGCCAGATAGAGTGACCAAAAGCAGATGCTTGTTGTTATTATTGTTATTGTTTGGTTGAAGGCAACAAAAAGTTCATTTACATAGAGCTCGAAGCTATAAGAGCACGCTGCCAATATTTATGCAGATCTATTTGATTCGCCGAGAAATCCAAAAACAAACAGCGCGCAACAGGCGCAGGCACAAGCAGTGCAAGTAAAACAAAAGCAGCAAAGAGAGCAAACGAGAATGAAAATATGCCAGCGACTGCAGAAGGAGGCGAGGAGAAGGACAAGCGCGCAGAACTTATTGAAAAATTCCAGCAAAAAAAAAAAAACACAAATTTATTTTGGCAGTGCTGCATCTGTGACAAACAAAACTACAAAAAAAAAAGAAAACAACAACAAAACAAATGCCAATAAATATGTATGTGTGTATATCTGTACAAGTGCGCACAGAAAAAAAGTAGAAACCAAAGAAAAAAGCTACGAAAATGAAAACCAGCAGCAATAACAACTACAACAACAACAGATACAACAACAATTATCATGTGAAACTCGTTTAAAAGAAATTCACGTGCTGAGGACTTTGCTGCCTGCCCGCCTGAAACAACAAAAATGCGCCGCTAGCAATGCATAGCAACAGCAACAACAACAACAACAAGCAGCAGCGAGGCGCATATTAAACGGCACACAAAAAATGCGTAATTTGCATACATGCATACAAGCAAACACGTATGCACACATACATACAGGGATATGCATATGCAAACGGTATAAGGAAATTGGGTACGAGAAGGATTCTACACACCCAGCAGAAAGAGAGAGAAAGAGAGGGAGAAACACACACACTTCTGTACACACGGGCATCTGGAAGTTTATTGGCCGCATTTAAGACAAAGATTTTGTGACGAAACTTTACGTTCATTGTGCTGCCGATCAGCTGACAGAGTTAAGCTGACATTCCAATTGGATATTGTGGACGGCAAAACAAAAGCTGACTAAATTCAAAAAGCCCGTAAATTCATGTTGGAATAACTAAATTCTAGTTGCGCTTTGATTAAAGTTTGTACTAGAAATGGAGTCGAGAAAAGAATTCTATTTAAAATAATAATTCTATTTAAAATATTGAATATGAAAATTTCATAGAAATGAAACCAAGGAAGAAAGTTGTGAAGCTATTTCTAAATTTAAAAAAATAAAAATGTTATACAATACTTTAAAAGCCAAATTCTTTTCGATTTCTGAACAGAGTATATTTTTATCAAATACTTTGGATTTGTACATATGATCTGAAAATGTATTTATAAATTTTCTCACATATTGATCAAACTCAACAAGCTATCATAATACTGGCCAACACTTCATCAATAATATCAGACGTACATTTACTGCAATCAGACACACACACACACACACACACACACACTCAGACTGCACATTTATCAATATTCAATGTGATCGCATCGATATTGATGCCCCAGACAACAACTACAAAAGAAAACACGTAACAGATACGCGTGACGCATTTCAATCGAAATGCAGCAACAAAAAGAAGCGAAATATAAAAAATAAACAACAACACAAACAACACGAACAACTTCCACCGGTGAATGGCAAATGAATTTTCGAATTTGGAAGCCGCAGCAGTTGTTGTTTTTTTTTTCTTTTCTTCTTTTTTTGGCGCTTTGCTTTTGTAGCTGTTAACTTGTCGGTTATTATTGTCATTTCGTTTATATTTTTTATTGGTCACTTGAATTACATTTTTATTATCTTTTTTTCACATTTTTTTATTATTTTTTTGCACAATTATTAACGACACTTTTATAATTTGTTGTTTAATAATATTAACAAAAGATTTCACTGCAAACACTTTCGTTTTGCCTAATTCCAATGCATATTCTTTATGAGACGCAAATAAACAACTGTAATTATCTATTATGCCTGCACACACTTGTTCCGCTCCTCCACGTTCAATTGAGCGCAGTTTTTTCTCGTTTCGTTTCTTTCTTTCACGAATTTCACTTTTTTTTTTTTTTTGGCGCGTGCCGGTTTTTTGCTTGATCGAATTTTCGGTTAGACTTTTGTGTATTGTGTTCTGCTGATAAGAATATTTACCTCATTTTGACAAATTAGACACACACACACTCGTGCACACTTTTGCACTTTTGAATTATTATGAATTCGTTCAACGAATTTTGTTTTGACCGTTGCTGGTGCTGCGCGCTTGCAACTGTTGCTGCTGCTGCTAATTTGCAAATGATGCGTTGACGTTGCCGATGTTGCCGTTGCATGAGCAGAATTGGCAGAAGCGTAACAACAAGAACAAGAACAGCGCACGCATTTTTTACGAAAAGAACTTCGACTGCGCTGCTCTCGGCTCACATACGGAACGACGATGACGACGACTACAACGACGCCCACACGAGTCGATTATCAAAACGAAACTGAAATCCCAATTGGAGTACGGCAGCTGCTGTTGCTGCGCTGCCAACTGGCTGGCGCACGAAGCTCAGATTTCAGATTCCACAACCGGTCAGAGAGCCAGAGAGTAAATAGTGTGTGAGAGCCAGAGCGAATGGCATCCACACAACTGGAATGACAACAACCGTTACGCGTGGTCGTCACTGTTTCTCTGCTTGTGTGTGTGTGTGTGTTTGCAGTTGTTGCACTTACATAGCGCATTCTGCTTCTGGGGGTGAGTGGGTGTTGCAGTCGCATGGGGGCACATTTTCCTGTTTATTTACATTTACATTTATTTACATTATAAATGCAAGCGATTATTGTCGCCGCTTGGGCACAGTTTGCGCAAATACAGTAAGCAGCGTGGCTGGCACGAAAGCGAATACGCCCGCATTAGCCAAAACAAACAACAAACAGACCAATATCAAAAGCCACAACAACAACAAAAACAACAGCAATAACAATGGTTGCCGGCCTCTTCAAAGGAACAACTCGGAATGCACTGCTATTTGCATAGCTCGCCCGCTTTGCTCCTTCCACTCGGTTTCGAGTTCGCCCTGTTGGGGGCTACCCCAAAAGTATGCAGTAGGCGGCGCGCGATAACAAAAACAAACTGTAAACGACCGGCACGGGGCACCAATACAAAAAAAAAAAAAAAAAATCACATACAACAACAACATAGAGCGCCGTTGGCGTCGCAGCTGTTTTTTCGTATGGCGCTCAGAGAGAGTACGCGATAGTGCGCTCTCTCACGCATTGGAATGAAAACATAAACAGTTGTTTTTACACTGTGCAACAAAAGTTTTTGTGTTGTCTATGAATATTTGCTTATACGTGCTAATGGAAATTAATAAATTAATATAAATTGGATGTTAAAATTAAATGAAAATAAATATAAGCTTATTAATAGCTCCAGGTATAGAAAAAATATAAATTAATTTTAAATAAATAATAATACAAACACAACTGAATGTTCATATTTTCTTTCCATTAAAAATGCTTGCGCTTAAGCATAATAATTGTCACAAAGACAAAACCTTTGTTAGCTTGTGTCGGCACAGCCACAAGCTCCACCACGCGCAAGCTCTGTGGATGGCATTTGTGGTCACTGTGTATGAGAGTTGTGGACGCTGGAAAGCGCCAAGAAACTGCTGAGCTAAAATAAACGACAAACATGCGTGAGCGACAACAACAATAAACGCTATGCGCTCTCGCTCTCTTACTAACACATACAGAGAAAGAGAATAGCATCCACAGTGGCTATGGAACGTTCGCTGTTTCTGCGACGGCGTCATGCACTTGTTCACTTGCGTTTATCAACAGCTAAGCAACGTTTGTTGTTGTTGTTGCTCCAGCTGATAAGTCGGTGGCAGTTTTGGAGTTGCCGCTGATAAGAAGAGAGAGAAACAAAAAGAGAGAGGGATAGGGATACACTGAACTCATCTGTGAGATAAACGCACTATTTAGGGGGCGTAGCGCACCAACTGTTGCTGGCATTTGGTCAAAAGCCAAACGGCAAATATGCATGCCCCACATTTCGATGCAGCTGCTACAATATCAAAGCAAACGAGCCGCGCAAAACAATAAAATTAATTGTACGCCGATCCCATCCAATAGAAAAGCTACACCCAGTTCACCCTTCCCCCCTTCACTCACCTCATTTGTGCCAGCTTGCTCTCGTCGTAGCTCTCCAGGCGTTGATACTGCACCACCTGTCGATTGGGCAATGTGCCGTGTTGTGCCACGCCCGCCGAATGCCGTCGATAATCCGTAAAGCTCTCGCTCTTGCGCAAACCCGGAATCTTACCGGAACTATTACGCCAATATTTGATCATGCGATGCAGCGTCGTCGGCGACGCCGTCGCCAGCGCAGCTGCGTTGCACGGCGTTGACTCTGCGTGATCCACCAAAGTTCTATATGAACTCATTACGGCGGTATTCAATCACTTTCACAAAATCCGCACTTTATAGAGACGGAAACGTGCAATTGGCTAGAATAGCAGAGTTCCAAATCTAAAGAACTCAATAGAACATAAAACATATAAGCCGAATAGAGCGGACTAGAGTACGAGCGTTACGAGCTGACACCACCCGACGGAGTGGTATTCGTTAATGTACTGATCGCATTTGTCTCTTGCTTTATTCCATTTCCATATATGAGTTTTATATATGTTTTATTTCTTTATACATATTTGTATTTACGATTTTTCATCTCTTTTTTTCCAGTTGCTTGTCGCTCTTTGCGGGGCTTTGGTTTTATTTATGTATACCCTATAATGCAATGTAAATGATTAAGAATGGGGTATACTGATTTTGGGGTAGCATATGGAACATGCATTTCTTTCCTCTAATGGAGTATATAGCCTGTCTATCTAACTATATTCTCATCAAGAGCTATATGAGCTAGACTCTGGAAATAAAAAATTGTATCTTTGAAATATATTATTTTTTGTAAGTGGAGTTTTTTAAAAACAAGTAATAGGAATACTTCTCATTGAAGTAATAAATATGCATTTTAAAAGTGGTTACTTAAAAAATATTATATTCCTTATATACAACAGTTAACAAAGGATTTGTATGGCTAGAGAGGGAGAGGGAGAGAGAGAGAGAGAGAGAGAGAGAGAGAGGAGAGAGAGAGAGAGAGAGGGAGAGAGAGAGAGAGATTACAGAGTATCTGTTAGTCGCATGTGCATAATATCAATTTTTTGTTGTTCTTTTTCATTGCTTTTTTAGTCGTCTCATTCTCTGTAATTTCTTTTCCTACATATTAATTATACGAACTTGCGGCTCGAGCGCTGATAAAACTGCGTACATAAATATTTTATATTGTTTGCTCAGCAAGTAAATTGGATATATAAAAAATAAATATGAATATATGAATGTATTTATATATACTAATTATATATATGCATATATTTAATATATTTACATATAGATATATATATAATACTCATGTCTATATAATAAGACTGCATTTAGCGGTTTTTGTTTTTGAAAGAACGAAACCCCATATGTAGATAATTTAATTTGGGTAAGAGTATAATAAAATCTGTTCTCAAATCGGGCTTTATATTAAATATATTATATTATGATTTATGGATGATTATAAATAACGAATGTTGCTTTTTGTAAAGTTTAAGTTATTATATAAAAAATATATATTATATAAATTTATAAAATCTAAAAAAGTTTAAGTATAATTCTTTAAAAATTGAATTTCTGTTCCTTTAATTCTTATTTATATTTATTTCCCTTTTCAATTACTTTCCAATTTCTCTCAGTGCGTTGAAATTCCCTCTGCCCATTTCATTTCATTCATTTGCATTGTTTTCCTCTGATAGTGGCACAAAACTAGATTGATAAGCGCTTTGTGTGTGGCCCCCATTGTCCGTTGCTGTTGCATGCCACAATTCCGAAGACACAGCTCGCTGATCCACTTTAAATACAGCCCCTGATTGACATCTATATTAGTATACTTAGTTTTGTTATAAATTAACCGAGCAGAGCTAATCAATCAAATTTGTTTTTTCCGCTTTGAACTCGGCCCACGCTTCACTTTACAGAAGGTAACTTAACTCTTAGAGGGTGTTTAAGTTGTTACTAGACTAGGTAATACATATGTACATATAAGCAATGTAAATTAGATATGTAAGCATTCCTGAGAAAGATATTGAATATTAATATCATATAAATACATTCTAATGTATACATATATCATGATTTAAGCTAAGCGAGATTTATAAAATTTTATAGCTCTTATGAAATTTAGCAAATATTTGTCGTACATACATATGCTAAAATCTGTTGGATAATAGCAAGTTGTATCATAGAACTTGCATCATCTTTTTATAAGATATTTTAAAATAAAGTAATATTTATGTTTTTTTTTTCCCAATGAAAAGTTATTATGAACTTTTATCTAAAACTGCAAGAGTGCTTAACTTAGGTATAGAGTTCATATAGAAATAATAAATACGAAATGAAAATCTGAAAACAATAATTCAATAATATAACGACGGCCCCTTGAGCGTATTCTACTGTACATAGTTTCCGATAACTATGACTAAATATATGATATATATGGATATAATGATGTGATATTTATGATCAAATATATTATGTATTTATGTATATAATGCTGTGATATTTATAACGACATGATATGTATATTTATATGGAATAAAATAAATACAGCCTAATAATCATCAGTCAATATATACTATATACTTTGCATACATCATCTGATCACACTCCTACATTTGATAGGCTTAACCTCTACAGGCACAACAAATCGTGCTATTAGCATCGACCATAATGTATTATATAAATCTTATATGCACAACCGATAATCAAGCTGTGCTATAAATGCAATTCTGGACATTATTGCCTCTCGCTATAGAGCATTGCCTCTGTTTCTTTATGAGTTTCAGTTTCAGTTGCAGCTTCGGTTTCTGTGTGGGCGCTTACTCAACTGCCACGCCCACTTGGCAGCGCCCTTGCTTCTAACTAATTGCAAGACGAAAAAATGCATTGCACTGAGTGCTATTCAAAGTGCTTATCGGCCCACTCGCAATGCCACAATCTGTCAATCCCTCAGTCCGGCAATGAGTCAATTTAGTGTTTAGTTTATGAGCGATTGGCTCATAACATTTGCAATTTTATAGCGAACGATAATGGGCCAGACTTGCAGGCGTCGCTGATAACAATGCCCGCTGAATAGAACAAGTTCTGCACCGAAAGAGAGGGCGAGTGAGTGAGTGAGGGAGAGAGGTAGAGAGACGGAAACCCGCTGAGCCACAAATCAACGGGCACTTATCAAAACGTACAGTAAATGGCACACGGTAATCGTATCTGCTGGACGGCAAATCAGATAAATCAAACATGGCAAACAAATCGCATGATAAGCCAGAAACAGGTAGCTCCAACTGGAGTCCAATTGGACGCGAACTGCAATGAAATCCAATCGACGTTCCAGCCAAATCGCGGCCAGCCATCAGATGTCATTATAAAATCGCTACTGTTGCGCC